CTATAATTGAGACATTTTGGTTCAGTTTACTATGAGACGTATTTCTTACAGATTAAAATATATATGGTATAAAATACATAATTTCAAAGTACATTTTGCAAATAAATTGGTTAAAATTCAGTAATTTTTGATTATTTATCATATTTAATCAAGCGTTCTCTTTTTAAAAATTACTAATATTCTTCCACATTGAATAAAATGCAGTCATTGCCCTGAGAAAATTCACCCAAGTAATAGGCACCCTTGGCCAACATAGTGCCCATTGCATGATTTATGGGCATCATGATACAAGCATTAGATTGAATGATAATTATGCAGGCATAATATCTGGATGGAGACATACCCCTCTTATTCAATATAATGACCTTGCTGTCATACCCAAATGATTGTTACCATCATTATTTTATGAGACAGTAGATGATCAATAGATAGATAGAAAGATATAGATATAGATATCTCATATTCTACAATTCTCTGAAACCTGTTTGATTAAATATTTTGTATGTATCAATATGTTAAGGGTATGAATACAGTACTGAAGTGGTAAGCTCATGATTCTAGTTACCAGTCAGGACTGCTCATGTAGCTGCCACTTCACACATCACAGGGCATTGCTTGAGCTTAATCTACATCTTCCTCTCACCCTTGTGAAAGTCACCACATGGCCTGAACTACTTCATTACCTTCTCTCCTAATCCCCTTTTGCTCAATTTACTTCATTACCTTCTCTCCTAATCCCCTTTTGCTCAATTTACCATTCAACAATCACATCACTTCCATACTTAAAACATTCAGTAGGCTCTTGTTATTCTTAGAAGTCCCAAATCGTCACTGTACCCTGCATGGTCTTGCCTATTTTGCCCATTTCATCTCTTGACAAGTTCTTCCTACTCCCTTTTGCTCCACCTGCTTAAGTTCTTTCTCAAATGAGCCAAGGTGGTTTCCACCATGGAAAAATTCCCCATGCTGCTCTGATGCCTAGGAGGCATTTACTTTCTCTCTACATGCAGGAAACCCTTATCGCCTTTCAACTTTGGTGTACTGGTCACCTCCTCAGGACCTTAGAAGTCAAGTTCCCAGGACCTTTGCTCTCATAGTCTCTTCTGCTTCTCCATAGTAGCCATTATCACAGTAGTCGTTTAAAAACTAGTGATATAATTGGTAGTTTATTGGCAGTTTTTCCCTCCCAATCATAAAGTTCCACGAGGACAAGAACCTTATTTGTCATTTCAAGGAAAGCTTTCAATTATTATTCATTGAATGAATAAAGAAATGAAAATATAAATGATAAGAAAAACGTTTTTAAAGTCTGTTTAGATGTTGGCTGTGGAAACAAAATTATCTGCCTCATATTCGTGAATTTAGCCATAGCTAGGAAGTTTTACTGGGGCAAATTCTACAGGTCTTAGTGAGCAGTTTATGAAAATCTTGGGAGCCCATTGAAAATGGGAAGTGCTTTTAGACAAGCCTGTGATAACCATTATATATTGTAAAATACAAAAAAAAAGGTTAGTAAATATTTCAGTACCTGTTAAAACACAATTGAAATTAAATATATATTTATCCTATTAATTTCATGAGTTCAAGTCTTTTTTTTTTTAACATCTTTATTGGAGTATAATTGCTTTACAATTGTGTGTTAGTTTCTGCTTTATAACAAAGTGAATCAATTATACATATACATATGTTCCCATATCTCTTCCCTCTTGCGTCTCCCTCCCTCCCACCCTCCCTATCCCACCCCTCTAGGTGGTCACAAAGCACCGAGCTGATCTCCCTGTGCTATGCGGCTGCTTCCCACTAGCTATCATTTTATGTTTGGTAGTGTATATATGTCCATGCCACTCTCTCACTTTGTCCCAGCTTACCCTTCCCCCTCCCCATATCCTCAAGTCCATTCTCTAGTAGGTCTGTGTCTTTATTCCCGTCTTACCCCTAGGTTCTTCGTGACATTTTTTTTTCTTAGATTCCATATATATGTGTTAGCATACGATATTTGTCTTTCTCTTTCTGACTTACCTCACTCTGTATGACAGACTCTAGGTCCATCCACCTCACCACAAATAACTCAATTTCGTTTCTTTTTATGGCTGAGTAATATTCCATTGTATATATGTGCCACATCTTCTTTATCCATTCATCCGATGATGGACACTTAGGTTGCTTCCATCTCCTGGCTATTGTAAATAGAGCTGCAATGAACATTTTGGTACATGACTCTTTTTGAATTATGGTTTTCTCAGGGTATATGCCCAGTAGTGGGATTGCTGGGTCATATGGTAGTTCTATTTTTAGTTTTTTAAGGAACCTCCATATTGTTCTCCATGGTGGCCATACCAATTCGCATTCCCACCAGCAGTGCAAGAGGGTTCCCTTTTCTCCACACCCTCTCCAGCATTTATTGTTTCTAGATTTTTTGACAGCAAGATCCTTTTTGACCCACCTCCTAGAGAAATGGAAATAAAAACCAAAGTAAACAAATGGGACCTAATGAAACTTAAAAGCTTTTGCACAGCAAACGAAACCATAAACAAGACCAAAAGACAACCCTCAGAATGGGAGAAAATATTTGCAAATGAAGCAACTGACAAAGGATTAATCTCCAAGATTTACAAGCAGCTCATGCAGCTCAATAACAAACAACCCAACCCAAAAATGGGCAGAAGACCTAAATAGACATTTCTCCAAAGAAGACATACAGATTGCCAAGAAACACATGAAAGAATGCTCAACATCATTAATTATTAGAGAAATGCAAATCAAAACTACAATGAGATATCATCTCACACCAGTCAGAATGGCCATCATCAAGTGTCTTTTTAAGGGACTGCTAAAAAAAGGACCGAATTTTCCTCCTGTATTTGTTACAGTAGTCCCAAGAACTGTTGACCTGTAACTTTGAAATTACAAACTGTATTAAGAGCAGCTACATTTATTTAGATATTTTTTTAGAAATGTGCAATTACTCTCTCAAAGTTATGAGCTATGTTTGTCATGAGTGATTAATTTTATACAACAATCAGATGATAATTAATTTACACTGGCCTCACTGATTTAGCTCTTATCAACCATGTCCACATAAAAGTACTATACAGATTCTCTTCCACTTAGCAAAAGGCATGTTTTTAACTTGATAATATGACTTTTCAAGTAAAATGCAGAGACTCTATTATGATAGCTTTAAGACACGATACAGAATGTCAGTTTACGATTTTGTACAACCCAATTCTGTCCCTCTCCCTTAGGTGCCAATATCAACATATTCGAGTTACAGGTAAGAGGGATATGTGTAGTTTGAAAAAATTATGTGTAGTTTGAAAAAATTATGTGTAGTTTGAAAAAATTCCTAGTTGCCTCACCCCCTGTCCCTTGCAGATAATCATCTCTGTTTTTTGTACCAGTGGGTTTTCTTATGATTGGAATTATGACATCCATAGAGACGATTCCCCACAAGGAGTTCAATGCTTCTGAAACTAAATTTAGCTTCTCGTTTCCTATCTTGATTCTAACACAGCCATTCCCATAAAGGCTTCAATAATTAAGCAGAAACAGATGCAAATCTCAACTACATACAGTATTTACTTTGAAAAATATGTCATTTGAATGCAGTGGAAATTTCATCTCCCACTAAACACTCTAAAATTCTTAAATACTGCTTCTCTGTATGGAATGCTGCTTCCTATACATTTCCATATCCTGTCCCCAAAACAAATAGACACATTAAAGTAGACATGTTGATTTTGCTACAACAAAGAATGGTTATTGATAGGAACAACAGTTGCCGATTTTGTCAACAGGATGAGAACTAGCAATTCAGGAGGTCAGAGATTTATTTTTACACGTGGAAAAAAAAAAAGATCTTGTAAGGGTGTGGGTCAGTCAGTTATTTTACATTAATAAGGTTTGCTGAGTAATCATTAAATGTGACTCAGGCTTGTTACAGCCAAGCTATTTTTCAGAGTTCTGTGGCAGAAATTATAATCAGTTACTTCTGAAAGGTGGTCTGGTTTCTGTTAGGATTGCTTAGAGGTGGCTGTCAGTTCTGTGAATCCAAGGATCACGTTTACCTTTACACACTAGAGACAGACTTTAGAAATTAGCTCAGCTGTGGACCAGGTCAAGTTATGGTTCTCTGGAGCTCTCTTCCATGATCTATATGCAACAAACTTCTTGATTTGCAAGTTGGGCTCCTTAGATGGACATGGAGCATAAATATAATAAATGATTGTGCTTCTCTTCTACATGCCAGTCTTGAATTTAAGATATTTTTCACATGTACCTAACAAAACCCTGCTATAATTAACTTTCCTCTGGTAACCTATTGGTTAAGAAAATACAGTTAACCATATTGTCTATAATAACCCAAGACTAATGAAGAACTCTCTCTTGTATTAAACTTTACCAGGGAATTCCCTGGTGGTCCAGTAGTTAGGACTCCACATTTTCACTGCTGAGGGCACAGGTTCAATCCCTGGTCCGGGAATTAAGATCCCACAAGCCGTGCAATGTGGCCAAAAAATAAAAAATAAAATATACCAGTGTTTGAAAATCCTGCCCTAATAGACTGGGATGAAGTTTTAATATTGTTTGAACTTAATTCAAATCGTTCTTTATAAATTACAAGTCTATAGGCTTTTAATATATTTTTTGTAGAGAGCACGTCATTATTTTTATTTTATAGTAAATATTGATTTTTAGTTTCCACTTGGCTATTTCTTGTTTTATAAGTCTGAATTTTAAGGATTTAAGATAGTGGGATTTAAGGATGATGGGTGCATGTATTTTTTTTTATGTTCATTCATTTATTTACCTTTTAACAAAAGCATACTGAGTACTATTATATATCTGGTAATACAATGGGTATTATGAACACAAAGCTAAATAACATATACCATCTTCCTTCCTCTAAATACTTGTGCATGATTAATGCTGACATAATTGATTTTCAACCTATACATATTTAATCGAATTAAAATGCATTTTAATCTTAATTTTCTTAGATATACCTGTAAAACGTGAATTTGAATATGAAATTCAATTTGAATCTGAAGCTGTGAAGGCTAATTTGGAATCTTGCGTGGCTTTATATTACATAAAAAAAATCTTATAATATCAAGGCTGAAAGGGTAACATTGGTCTTCAGTCTGATATTTGCACCAAAGAAACCATTGAGGTAAACCTGCTTTCACCCCTATTTTCTTTCTTTCTTTTTTTTTTTTTTTTTTCATTACCCGGGCCTCTCACTGTTGCATCCTCTCCCGTTGTGGAGCACAGGCTCCAGATGCGCAGGCTCAGCGGCCATGGCTCACGGGCCCAGCCGCTCCGCGGCATGTGGGATCTTCCCGGACCGGGGCACGAACCCGTGTCCCCTGCATTGGCAGGCGGACTCTCAACCACTGTGCCACCAGGGAAGCCTGTACATGACTCTTTTTGAATTATGGTTTTCTCAGGGTATATGCCCAGTAGCGGGATTGCTGGGTCGTATGGTAGTTCTATTTTTAGTTTTTTAAGGAACCTCCATACTGTTCTCCATAGTGGTTGTATCAATTTACATTCCGATCAACAGTGAAAGAGGGTTCCCTTTTCTCCACACCCTCTCCAGCATTTATTGTTTGTAGATGTTTTGATGATGGCCATTCTGACTGGTGTGAGGTGATACCTCATTATAGTTTTGATTTGCGTTTCTCTAATGACTAGTGATGTTGAACATCCTTTCATGTGTTTGCTGGCAATCTGTATATCTTCTTTGGAGAAATGTCTTTTGAGGTCTTCTGCACATTTTTGGATTCAGTTGTCTCTGTTTTTGATATTGAGCTGCATGAGCTGCTTGTAAATCTTGGAGATTAATCCTTTGTCAGTTGCTTCATTGGCAAATCATTTCTCCCATTCTGAGGGTTGTCTTTTTGTCTTGTTTATGGTTTCCTTTGCTGTGCAAAAGCTTTTAAGTTTCATTAGGTCGAATTTGTTTATTTCTATTTCCATTTCTCTAGGAAGTGGGTCAAAAAGGATCTTGCTGTGATTTATGTTATAGAGTGTTCTGCCTATGTTTTCCTCTAAGAGTTTGATAGTGTCTGGCCTTACATTTAGGACTTTACTCCATTTTGAGTTTATTTTTGTGTATGGTGTTAGGGAGTGTTCTAATTTCATTCTTTTACATGTAGCTGTCCAGCTTTTCCTAGCACCACTTATCGAAGAGGCTGTCTTTTCTCCATTGTATATTCTTGCCTCCTTTTTCAAAAATAAGGTGACCATATGTGCGTGGGTTTATCTCTGGGCTTCCTATCCTGTTCCATTGATCTATATCTCTGTTTTGGTGCCACTACAATATTGTCTTGATTACTGTAGCTTTGTAGTATAGTCTGAAGACAGGGAGCCTGATTCCTCCCGCTCCATTTTTCTTTCTCAAGATTTCTTTGGCTATTCGGAGTCTTTTGTGTTTCCATACAAATTGGGAAATTTTTTTGTTCTAGTTCTGTGAAAAATGCCATTGGTCGTTTGATAGGGATTGCATTGAATCTGTAGTATAGTCATTTCCACAATGTTGATTCTTCCAATCCGACAACATGGTATATCTCTCCATCTGTTTGTACCGTCTTTAATTTCTTTCATCAGTGTCTTATAATTTTCTGCATACAGGTCTTTTGTCTCCTTAGGTAGGTATGTTCCTAGGTATTTCATTCTTTTTGCTGCAATGGTAAATGGGAGTGGTTCCTTAACTTCTCTTTCAGAATTTTCATCATTAGTGTATAGGAAAGCAAGAGATTTCTGTGCATTAATTTTGTATTCTGCTACTGTACCAAATTCATTGATTAGCTCTAGTAGTTTTCTGGTAGCATCTTTAGGATTGTCTATGTATAGTATCATGTCATCTACAAACAGTGACAGCTTTACTTCTTCTTTTCTGATTTGGATTCCTTTTATTTCTTTTTCTTCTCTGATTGCTGTGGCTAAAACTTCCAAAACTATGTTGAATAATAGTGATAAGAGCGGACAACCTTGTCTTTTTCCTGATCTTAGAGGAAATGATTTCAGTTTTTCACCATTGAGAATGATGTTGGCTGTGGGTTTGTCATATATGGCCTTTATTATATTGAGGTAAGTTCCCTCTATGCCTACTTTCTGGAACGTTTTTATCATAAATGGGTGTTGAATTTTGTCGGAAACTTTTTCTGCATCGAGATAACCATATGGCTTTATCCTTCAATTTGTTAATATGGTGTATCATGTTGATTGATTTGCATATATTGAAGGATCCTTGTATTCCTGGTATAAACCTCACTTGATCATGGTGTATGATCCTTTTAATGTGCTGTTGGATTCTGTTTGCTAGTATTTTGTTGAGGATTTTTACATCTATGTTCATCAGTGATACTGGCCTGTAGTTTTCTTTCTTTGTGACATCTTTGTCTGGTTTTGGTATCAGGGTGATGGTGGCCTCGTAGAATGAGTTTGGGCGTGTTCCTCCCTCTGCTATATTTTGGAAGAGTTTGAAAAGGATAGGTGTTAGCTCTTCTCTAAATGTTTGACAGAATTCACCTGTGAAGCCATCTGTTCCTGGGCTTTTGTTTGTTGGAAAATTTTTAATCACAGTCTCAATTTTAGTGCTTGCGATTGGTCTGTTTATGTTTTCTGTTTCTTTCTGGTTCAGTCTTGGAAGGTTGTGCTTTTCTAAGAATGTGTCCATTTCTTCCAGGTTGTCCATTTTATTGGCATATAGTTGCTTGTCGTAATCTCTCATGATCCTTTGTATCTCTTCAGTGTCAGTTGTTACTTCTCCCTTTTCGTTTCTAATTCTATTGATTTGAGTCTTCTCCCTTTTTTTCCTGATGAGTCTGGCTAATGGTTTATCAATTGTGTGTATCTTCTCAAAGAACCAGCTTTTAGTTCTATTGATCTTTACTATTGTTTCCTTCATTTGTTTTTCATTTATTTCTGATCTGATCTTTATGATTTCTTTCCTTCTACTAACTTTGGGTTTTTTTTTGTTCTTCCTTCTCTGATTGCTTTAGGTGTAAGGTTCAATTGTTTATTTGAGATGTTTCTTGTTTCCTGAGGTAGGATTGTATTGCTATAAACTTCCCTCTTAGAAGTGCTTTTGCTGCATCCCATAGGGTTGAGTCATTGTGTTTTCATTGTCATTTGCTTCTAGGTATTTTTTGTTTTCCTCTTTGATTTCTTCAGTGATCTCTTGATAACTTAGTAATGTATTGTTTAGCCTCCACAATATCTAGTCTCATAGCACTGTGGTCCAAAAAGATACTTAATATGATTTCAATTTTCTTAAATTTACTAAGGATTGATTTGTGACCCAAGATATGATCTATCCTGGAGAATGTTCCATGAGCACTTGAGAAGAAAGTGTATTCTGTTGTTTTTGCATGGAATGTCCTATAAATATGAATTAAGTCCATCTTGTTTAATGTATCATTTAAAGCTTGTGTTTCCTTATTTATTTTCATTTTGGATGATCTGTCCATGGGTGAAAGTGGGGTGTTAAAGTCCCCTACTATGGTTGTGTTACTGTCGATTTCCCCTTTTATGGCTGTTATCATTTGCCTTATGTATTGAGGTACTCCTATGTTGGGTGCATAAATATTTACAATTGTTATATCTTCTTCTTGGATTGATCCCTTGATCATTATGTAGTGTCCTTATTTGTCTCTTGTAATAGTGTTTATTTTAAAGTCAATTTTGTCTGATATGAGAATTGCTACCCCAGCTATCTTTTCATATCCATTTGCAAGGAATGTCTTTTTCCATCCCCTCATTTTCAGTCTGTATGTGTCCCTAGGTCTAAAGTGGTTCTCTTGTAGACAGCATATATACGGGTCTTGTTTTTGTATCCACTCAGCCAGTCTGTGTCTTTTGGTTGGAGCATTTAATCCATTTACATTTAAGGTAGTTATCGATATGTATGTTACTATTACCATTTTCTTAATATTTTTGCATTTGTTACTGTAGGTCTTTTCCTTCTCTTTTGTATCCTGCTTAGGGAAGTTCCTTAACATTTGTTGTAAAGCTGGTTTGGTGGTGCTGAATTCTCTTAGCTTTTGCTTGTCTGTAAAGGTTTTAATTTTTCCATTGAATCTGAATGAGATCCACGCTGGGTAGAGTAACCTTGGTTGTAGGTTTTTCCCTTTCATCACTTTAAATATGTTTGCCACTCCCTTCTGGTTTGCAGAATTACTGCTGAAAGATCAGCTGTTAACCTTATGAGGATTCCCTTGTATGTTTTTTGTTGTTTATGCCTTACTGCTTTTAATATTTTTTCTTTGTGTTTAATTTTTGATAGTTTGATTAATATGTGTCTTGGCATGTTTCTCCTTGGATTTATCCTGTATGGGACTCTCTGTGCTTCCTGGACTTAACTATTTCCTTTCCCATATTAGGGAAGTTTTCAACTATAATCTCTTCAAATATTTTCTCAGTCTCTTTCTTTTTCTCTTCTTCTTCTGGGACCCCTTTAGTTTGAATGTTGGTGTGTTTAGTGTTATCCCAGAGGTCTCTGAGACTATCCTCAATTATTTTCATTATTTTTTGTTTATTCTGCTCTCCAGTAGTTATTACCACTCTTTTATCTTCCAGGTCACTTATCCATTCTTCTGCCTCAGTTATTCTGCTATTAATTCCTTGTAGAGAGTTTTTAATTTCATTTATTGTGTTGTTCATCATTGTTTGTTTTCTGTTTAGTTCTTCTAGGTCCTTGTTAAATGTTTCTTGTATTTTCTCTATTCTATTTCCAAGATTTTGGATCATCTTTACTATCATTACTCTGAATTCTTTTTCAGGTAGACTGCCTATTTCCTCTTCATTTGTTAGGTCTGGTGGGTTTTTGCCTTGCTCCTTTATCTGCTGTATGTTTCTCTGTCTTCTCATTTTGATTAACTTACTGTGTTTGGGGTCTCCTTTTCACCACCTGCTTGTTCATAGTCCCTGTTGTTTTTGGTGTCTGCTCCCAGTGGGTAAGGGTGGTTCAGTGGGTTGTGTAGGCTTCCTGGTGGAGGGGACTGGTGCCTGTATTCTGGTGGATGAGGCTGGATCTTGTCTTTCTGGTGGGCAGGACCGCATCTGGTGGTGTGTTTTGGGGTGTCTGTGACCATATTATGATTTTAGGCAGCCTCTCTGTTAATGGATGGGCTTGTGTTCCTGTCTTGCTAGTTGTTTGGCATAGGG